TGAGCCCCTCTGTGAGTTTGACACCCCCTCCATGGCTCTGAGCTCCTCTATGTGTTGGGGTCAGTCCTCCGTGGGTCTGAGCCCCTCTGTGGGTTTGACCCCCCCATATGGGTCTGAGCCTCAATATGGGTTTGAAACCCTCCCCCCAACAGGTCTGCGCCCTCTCCATGTCTGCGTGCCCCCGTGGGTCTGAGCTCCCCTGACCTCTCCAGCGGTCTGAGCCCTTCTCACCCCTCCTGCCCCCAGCCATGGATCTGAGCCCCTCTCATGGGCCCGAGCCCCCCTTAAAAGCATCTGAGCCCCCTTTGCCCCCTCACTGGTTTGAGCCACCATGTGGGTCCAGGCCCCCCACCCTCCTCCACCTGGGTCTGAGCACCTCTTGCCCCTGTGGGTTTGAGCCCCTTCCTGGGTCTGAGACCCCCCTTCTGGGCCGGCATCGAATTTGGGGAACAACAGTGCCTCATGGGGACATCACAACCCCAGGGGCTGTGCGTCGCCCCTGTGGCATTTGGGGACTGGTGCCGCTGTGGGCGAGGTGTTTCCCAACCTGGGAAATCACAGCGAGGATGAGTGTGGTGGGGAGGAAGGGTGGGAAGGCACTGGGAGCGGTGCCCTGAGTTGAGCTGAGGTCTCCCCACCAGCTGCGCGGGGAATGGGTGGCCATGGGAGCCATGCAGCGAGGACAGGGTTAAGGCCAGGTTCATCCCAGCGCCGGACGAGGTGACCTTGCTTTGGGAGAGGCTGGAGAGGGCCGGTGGCTGAAAGCACGTGTTGGCGAGCAGCTTCTCTTCCCCCCTCTCCTGCAGTTCACATCCAGACCTCCCGGGCTCTCATGGTCATTTCTCTCCTCCTGGGTTTCTTCGGCATCATTGTGAGCGTGGTGGGCATGAAATGCACCAAAGTTGGTGAAGAAGATCCCGTCACCAAGAGCCGCATCGCTGTTGCCGGTGGTGTCCTCTTTGTCCTCTCCGGTAAGGCAGCTCCAGCCCTCGCCCCTCTCTGATGCAGAAGACCTCAAACACCTTTTAAAAGCTGTTTGATGGAAGAAAGGGTGAGGAGCTGCTTTGCTGATGGGTTGGGTGTTGCTGACATTCAACGTTTGGTGTCCAGGTCTTTGCACGTTGGCTGCCGTGTCCTTGTATGCCACGCAGGTGACCTGGGAGTTCTTCAAGCAGAGCAGCGTCCCCCTCAACGCCAGGTGAGAGCACATCTTGGGGGATGCTTTTTGTCTGAATCTCATCTTGTTCCTGTGCTTCCCACAGGACCTTCCCTTACTGGTTTTGGCCACGCACGGGGTCGTAGGGAGGTGCACCGGGCAGCCAGGGTGGGACCTACAT